ACAAAGCATGTATATAAGACTCTTAATAAAGGTGATCGGCAAGGCTGCCAAAGATTAAAAAAAAAAAAAAAAAAAATTTATTTATATTTATTTTTATAATATTAGATATTATTTTTAAAATGAGTTCTAGTGAAGAAGATTCTAGCATATCAACTTCTACTATAGATAAAGACAAAAAAAATATTGTGGTCATCCATATAGTTCAGTTTGGAAATATTTTACTAGAGAAGAAAAAGTAGCAAAAGGAAAATATAAAGTAACTTATAATTTGTGTAGAACTCTTGGAATCATGATAAACCAGCTGAATTAGAAAGTCACTTAGCCAATCATTGTACAAAAGCAGATTCAACAATTATAAGAAAATTTCTTACAAGAATTCTTTTAAATAATTTAGAAAAAGATGAATCTAATAAAAAAAAAAAAGTAATACTCAAGAAAAACTTGATCAATATGTTAGTATAATAGAATTAGATTAGCAAAAAATCAAAAAAATTTATCTTGGCTAGGCTAAAGCTTTTGTTATTTGTAGAATTTCTTAGAATATTATTGAAAATCTTTTTTTTATTGAAGCATTAAAAGAAACAAATTTATCTTATAATCCATTAATATGTCAATATTTATCAGGCTATTTGTTAGAACAACAATTAGCTATTATTAATCAAAAAACTAATAAAATATTTTAATAATATTCAAATTTAAGTTTAGGTAAATATATATTATATATTTTTTAAATAAATAAATTAAAACTAATTAAATTTAATTTAGTATTATATAGTTGAACTAATAAGAAAAATTATTCAATATAGAATTTTATAATTATTATCCCTGAATATAAAGAATATTTATACCAACTTTATAATTTTTCAAATAAAATACATATAGAACAATTTTTAGCTAACAAAATTAATAAAGTTTTAGATTCTGTTAGTATAGATCATTTTTTAGCTATAGTTAGTGATAATAGAGCTAATGTTAAACTTGTACGAAGTATAATTTCATCACAACATCTACATATTTTTAGTATAAGATGTATAACATATGTAATAAATTTAGTTGCACAAGATATTTTAAATTTTTTTTTTTTTTTTTTTATTTATATAATATCAGGTAGGAAAAATAATAATACATGGGTATATCAATTGGATATAA